GCCAATGGTAGACCGTGACCCTGGCAGTTTCTCGGACACCGTGCACGGTCCACCGTCCTTGACAGTGGTCGACTATCACGTTGGCAGCGAGCTGGGAAAAATTTCCTTTGATTTTTTGATTATGCGTAAGACTTCATTTTCATTATGTTTGTTCATTTTAACACTTAAGCAACCAAGTACAAATAGTTCTTGAATGACTCCCATGTATAAGTTTGACATATTGGTTGAGAATAATCTAACAACTTAGCCGAGTAGTTGAGCATATAAAATAACAAATACACATACGTTCATACATTTAAAACACATATGTTTGTGCATGAATTTACGTGTTCATGCAATCGTCTAAATGTAGACTAGGTGTTTCCCAACTTGAACATTCAAATGTCAAATTTATACACCAAAATGTATCAAATGATGTTATTATGATATCCATTGGTGTTTCCTCAAGCCTAACTGTTCTACTACTTTTATTTAAAAATCCATATTGTTTACGATTGAGTAAAACATCCATTTAGCCTTTGTGTAACCGCTCAATTTCATAACATCTCCTAATCCTCATTGTTCTCTACGGAACTTTAATAGATCAAGAACACTACATGGCATAAATCTATATACACATAATCATATAAACAACCAACATATTTGCCTATAAATATATTAAAGATTCTTCTGTTATATCTAAAGTGTACATACCTCGGATACGACACGAAAATCTCAACGTTAGAAGGAACCAAACAAATCAACAACGTCAACGAACGGTTGTCAAACTATTAGCCTTCTAATCTTCCTAACAGCTCCTTGAGTTCTATTTTCTTCTTTGAAATATGTTATAGGGGCTGTGGAGAGTCGGAACGCACCAAACGAATAGCGGATTAAATGGAACGAAACGAGAATGGAGATAGAAATTGCAAACCTCGCGTTTTCCGTCGCCACTGGACTAGTTTTTGTAGAATGCTCGTATCGCCTTTGTTACTTGTCTGATTGACGAACCGTTTGCGGCTGTGGTTTACCAACTTGCAGGGCTACAACATTGATCAAGAAACCACGACCAAATAGTGAGTTAAAGATTGTCGAAATGCTACCCAAAGTAGACTAAGGGGATTTTGCTTCCAAAAATCAGCACCTCCTCCTCCTCCTTCCTTCTTTTCTTCTTCTTGTCTTTCTCCTTCTTTCTCTTTGCCAGAGCTGCTTCGTCTCCTGGAAGGCTACTGGCTGATGTTAACAAGGGAGAGGGTAGAGGGAGAGTGCGTACTCCATGGGGTGAAGAATACAAAGTGAGAAGAGAGGAGAAGGGAGATGTATATGTTTAAGGAGAGATGGTGATGATCCCTAGGTAAAGGAAAAGGGGGGGGGGCAAACCATTGAGAGGAAGGGGGGAGGAATTTCCAAAGTTGCTCCGTAAATAATTTCTTACCTGGACGGTACGCGTTTTTCTGTCAAATTGTTCCAAATCGAGACCTGATTCTGTTTTCAGGAATAAACAGTCAAAACTCAATTTATGATATATTCAAACTATTTTTCTCAAACTTTAATTTCACACCACCTAGTCCATCTCAATCATTAATTAATTAATTAATGTGGAGAGGCCCATTATAAAAAAACATCTTTTTATGATTATAATACATTAACTTTTGAATTCCATTTAAAAAGATCAAAATCTCAATATTTATTATTTAAAATAATGAGTCTCATTAAATAATACTCTATCAGTTTCTTAAAACTCTTCTTCTTTCATTTTTTTTGTTTTCCTTAAAACACATTTCTTTTTTCTATTAAAAAACCACTTTTACCCCTACTTTTTCATACCTTACCTATCACATCATACTTTATCACTAATAACTAAACTATCACATCTTATTTTTACCCATCACATCAGGAGCAAAATTGGAAAGTCAACTAAAATTACACTTTCCTTATTTTTCCCCAAAGTTAAAACAAGAACTGTTTTAAGAAACGGAGGGAGTACTTATTTAAAATATTGGCTAACTATTAGGCCGGTTTATAGGGCGTTACACCATGTCTTGCTGCATTTGAAGTAAAGAGTGACTCATGGTAGTCATCCAATCATCCATTACCACCAATGAAGGTTTTGTAAATTTGTTCATCATGAAAGCACAAATTGATATGTTTCACGTATTGAATAGGGAAGACTTAGAGTGTCATCAGACTCGGAGGAAGAGAATTGAAGGAAGGAACATATAGAAGAGAAGATTGGGAGGAAGAACCTTGTGGTAGAGAGAATAGAGGAGAAGAAGTTTCAGATTTTGAAGGGATAGTTTCATTCATGCCCATAACGAAAGACTAGATCTCTTTTTAAAAGGAATGATAAACCTTAGCCCAAACCTAACCACAACTAGTTATCTACCCTTTTGGTTCAAAAAAGGCATTGAGATAGAGATCTGAAAAGAAACCCTCGAAGGAGCTTATGATTGCGCTCTCCTATTAAAACCTATGTTTCCATCATAAATTATAGAAAGTACTAATAACATTGAACCCAACACCCAAACAACCCAACGATGTGTAATCCTTCTACCATACCGGAAGTCTTCTGGTCCTAAGACTCTGGTTCAACTCTCCATTCTAGTCATCCAATGTCTCTATTCCTGACTCAAGTTCCATGGAAACATTTTTCTCCCCCTAACGTGCATTCTCACAACATCCCTCCTTCCCCATCTATCGATCACCTCTCTTAACGGATGCCTCATATGAATCAGTGGTAGCCATTGGTGGTTCCTCCCCCACCTCTCAGCCCCATTTCGCCTTTACAAAATCTCTAATATCAAATTGCATATTCTGATTCAGTATCAAAAACAAACTTCAAAAAATGGAGTTGCCTCTTTCTTCTTTTTGTTCTTAGAATTTTTGAGATATTCATAAAAGTTCAGAGATTGTTTTGTAAATAATCTAGTCAAAATGGAGAAACAAAAAAACATAAGCTTAAAAAAAGGTAAGACCTACTTTTTTATACTTATAAACAGTTGTTAAGCATAGAGAAATACATTATCAACTGACTTATAAGTTAAAACAGCTTAAAACACGTTTAGATACTCATGTAAACTAGTCAATCTAATGAACGAGAACCTCATTCTTTACTACCTCTAAATTAGTACATACTTCATTCCAAAATAATTGTTTATTAAGGATTATTAGATGCATTAGATTTTGAATGAATATGGATATAAATATGTCTACATTTGTTTAAAATCTAATGTATAAAAAAAACTTTAATAGAAAGTTATTGTATAATGAAGTGAGTACTTGATGATTGAGTTTTTCAGTAAGTCAACCTTCCCAATGAAGGGTTAGTTTTCTCTGAGTGCCGTGTCTCTCGAGGAGTGGACGAAGGGAATTAGCTAATTTTTCTAACTATACGAAGGTTAGGACGGGTCTGAAAGTCTTCTCGATTTGATTTGAAAATAAACTAGAGTACAAGGTGCTTTGTAAAAAAAAAAAATAGTACGGGTATAGGACTAGACTTCGGGCCAAGGCATCATCTGAGTTAACTACTGTTGTCACATATTTAATCAATAATTGGAATAATAATATTTCTGTCACAAATATTTCATTAACTTATCCTCTCTCAAAGCAACATTAATGTGTTCTAAAAAGTTTGGCTTAATTAATTTTATATCCTCATAGACAAGGCAAAAACTAATTTCCAATACTTAATTAATTTTTCTCTCGAAAAAATTAATTAATTTAACAATAAAAATAATTCTAGAACAATTATTTCAACTATTAAATAAACATACAGAGTATATATGCCCAAATTTAACCAGGACCTTAATTCGGGTCCTATCCCATACTAAATATTAAGAGTGCATGACAAAAGAAAACATTTTATTAAAATTGCAAGTATTAAAACTTACAACAGAAAGCAGAGTCGGAGCCACTTTGCGACAGTCGGAATAAAACTAAACTAAAATATAAAAATATAACTGAAAACAGAAGCTAGAGAGGAGGTCTGGGCCTTAAAGACCCGGAGGAAGGCTTTAGGTAAATGAAGGGGCGAAGTCCTCTATTTATAGTAGAAAATTTTGGTCTAGGTCTCTAACAGGCGCGGGTCTGAAGACCAGGCGCACGCCTGGATTGAAGTGTACATGGCGGCTGATGTGTGCCTTTACGCCATTTTTTCTTCTTCTTTCTTGTTTTTTTATTCCTTTGATTGATACAATGGATATGCGGACCACATTATTCACAAAAGGATTGATTACAAATGTAATCTTGGTCAACAAATCAAGTTTTGCCACGTGTCGCCTCTTTGTTGTCAAAATTTGAACCACTTCGAAATTTATTTTTGAAAATGTTATGTTGCTCAACATTTTATTCTGAACAAGTTTTTCTTCTATGCCGACTTCAAATTATGAACCAATTTGGGTCAAACGAATTGATTTTGAATCAAAACAACTATTTTTTACTTTTTTTCATTTCAAACAATTTCCTTTTGGCGCTTTTTAAATCCGTTTGACCTCAAATCTTTTGACGGGGTGCATCGCCACATATGAATATACACTTTCACTTCAAGGATTTTCACCATCTTTTGCCTCTTTGCTCTGTTGCATTCCATTTGCACAATCTTTTACACCTTTTGTAGTAATTTTGACTCAATTTCTATTCTATTTAAAACAAGACATAATTTTTGTACACTTTTTCAATTATAAATAAAAACTTATAAAAACTATTGAGAAATTGATTTGTTTGATCTAAAATTGGACAATAACACATTAAATATAGAGAAGATAAGTGCGTACAAAACAGACTTATTATCAGTACTACATTTGCCATACTACAATAATTGAATGCACCTAATAATTTTGTCAAAAGGGTAGTTTTAATTTTTCAAGTTGTTTTAGTCTTCTTAATGAAATCAATAATATTATTATAAAAAGTTCTTTTTTACTCTTATTTACGTAAATTTATCTATTTATTTACATACCATGCTTGATTGATTCGTATGGAGTAACATATATTTACTCATAAATGAAATGTATGACTAATAGAATGGAGAACCTAAAGCTCCATAAGGCAAGTGGAAAGGCAAAAGTGATGGGAACTGTGATATGTGTAAGCGGGGCTATGCTTCTCACGTTATACCGAGGCCCAGAGGTTCATATTTGGGGCTCCAACATTGACTTATTTCGCCTCTCTCACCCGCACTCTAACGGAGCCCACCACCCTACCTCCTTTGCCTATTCGCGAAGTTTTACCTTGGGTGCCTCCATCACCCTCATCTCCTGCTTCTGCTATGCACTTTGGATTGTGCTACTGGTAGGTAATTATATGTTTTTTAATTAAAATATAAAATCCTTTCTTGGGACTATAACTACAAATTTAATCTTGAGTTTTTGGTCGACTTACTTCCTTAACATTGCACCAAAGGGTTTTTAACCAAGACTCTAAGAGGTCATGGCTCATGGGTTCATATATTATTAATTGCCACATATACTACTTTTGGTAAATAAATAAGGTTTTACGTGTAAAACTCAAAGCGGTTATATGTAGTTTTATAGAGTTGTTATTTGACGTGTACATATAGGCGAAGGTGAGCAAGAATTATCCATGCCATTACTCGAGCACCGCGTTGATGGGTTTCATGGGAGCAATTCAGTCTGTGGTGTTCGCACTATGCACTACTCGAGGAGAGGCTGCACATGGATGGGTGCTTGGTTGGAATATAAGATTATTTGTCGTCCTTTTTATGGTATGCATCTAAGGTACACTTTTTCTGTCCCAAATTAAAGTTTATTTTCTTTAATTGACATCTTTCTATTCTTCATGTATAGGGAATTGTAGGTTCTGGCGTTGTGGTCATTCTAATGACTTGGTGTGCAAATAAAAGCGGGCCTTTATTTGTGTCCATATTCAACCCCTTGATATTGGTGTTTGTGGCTCTTGCTAGCTCATTGCTCCTTAATGAAACGTTGCATCTTGGAAGGTAATTATATATGGACTATTTTTATTGTTGAATCTATATATATGTGTGTGTGTATATATACATACATACATAACATACATACACACATATATATATACCACTCATGTCCTCTTTTAATTTTGTTTATATATGTCTGTGTGTAACAAAATGCAGTGTATTGGGCGGGTTTGTAATCATAATGGGATTGTATGTTGTGCTATGGGGAAAGGCAAGAGACATGAAGATTACGGTTATAAGTTCTATTGATTCTCACCAAGACGATGTCTTGCCTAAAACTAGTACTAAGTCTTCATCAGCAAATAATTAAATGATCATCGTAGGTGGGACAAACTCTTTTATTTCATTCTCACCATATCTGTTGATCTACATATCCATTATTTATATAATTTATGCCCATATGTGTTGTTGATGACACATAAAAGACGATATGCCATTTGTATTGGGTATTTATGTTGTTATTTTTTCTTTCAACAAACTAACATATGCTTTGTATGATTAAAACGACTATGGATGTTGTTTTTGTTATATTTATTTCATCTTTAGTTTGCAATGTTTTACTCCCTTCGTTTGAATTCGGTTGTTCACTTGTTTGTTTGTATATCCTCTAAAATAAATTGTTTATTTTTTACATTTAGTAAATAAATTATTATCATTTTTATAAAATACAACTAGATACCACAATACATTAGCATTGTTGAAATTAGTACATGACAAGCTCCTTAAAGGACTTAGGCCCCGTTCCGTTCAACTTATTTTTTCTTATTTTTTCTTATTCTTATTAAAATCAGATCAGATCAGACCAGATCAGATCAGATCAGATCGAATCAGATCAAATCAGATCAGATCAGATCAAATCAGGTCAGATCAGATCCAATCAGATCAGATCAGATCCAATCAGATCAGATCAGATCAAGACTTATTAAAATAAGATCTCATCAAGAATTATTATCATTATTATTATTATTATTATTATTATATTATTATTATTATTATTATTATTATTATTATTATTATGATGATCATCATCATCATCGTCATCATCATCGTCATCATTATTATTATTATTATTATTGTTCTTAAAAATGAAAAAGAATAAACTTTAGAAATAGGTTAAATAAAAAGCTGAGAAAGTAATCCTTAATTATTAGACGTCGGAAAAATTAGTTTTAAAATACATTGACAATGTCAATCTAATTCTACTTTTAAAATATATTTTTATTGCTACTTGTAATTTGAGTTTCTAAACTTTTGATCTTTTATAAGGATGAGATATTTTAATAAAAATACTATCTCTTCTATATATTGATTATCTAAATTTAATTACTTTTAAATGTATATCTAA